TATCAAACATCTATCGTCCTTATCTCCCCTTCTTCTTTCCTATCAAACATCTATCGTCCTTATCTCCCCTTCTTCTTTCCTATCAAACATCTATCGTCCTTATCTCCCCTTCTTCTTTCCTATCAAATATCTATCGTCCTTATCTCCCCTTCTTCTTTCCTATCAAACATATATCGTCCTTATCTCCCCTTTTTCTTTCCTATCAAACATCTGTCGTCCTTATCCCCCCTTCTTCTTTCCCATCAAACATCTATCGTCCTTATCTCCCCTTCTTCTTTTTTATGTTAGTTACTCTCTTGTAACACCTCCAATCTTCTGGCGCTCATATGACCTTAGGCAGTTGCGAGCACCGTAAAACCTTTACTAAAACTAAGCTAAACATTCCTGGTGGTGGGCGGTAATTTATCGGTATTTATCGCCCGATTATTTTAACAGTTTTAAAGAAAACTAGCAAGCAAACAAACAGGCACAAGAATGGACGAACAAACAAACAAACAAACAAAAAATGTATTTATCGCCCGATTTTTTTAACAGATTTTAAGAAAACTAGCAAGCAAACAAACAGGCAAATGAACAGACGAACAAACAACCAAAGAAACGAGTAAACAAGTAGATCTAAACGAGTAAACAAATAAACAAAAAACAAATAAAAAGAACTTTTTTTTTCGGAGCATACCGCTAAATACGCTCGAAATATTTATACAGCTGAGAAAACCTAGACAGCTTTAATTCATAGTATATCGTTTCTTAGACGTTCTAATAGAGGGTGCTCACATACGCAATCGAATCGGGTCGGGTCGGGTCGATCTGGTAGTCGGGGCTAGCCAAATTGAGGGCACAAAGCGGACATTGTGGCACAAACCGATCGACTCGGTCCTTCAAAAACAGAAGTGTTTGTTTTCAGGCCTGCGAATCACTCGATCGGGAGGTTTTGCAGCCAATCACAACAAGGCTGAGTCACGTGTCCATGTTGACACTCAAAATCCGGTGGCGCCCTCTTCGAAAAGGTGCAGACTTTTGGAACAGAGTTATCCTACTTGTGTGAAAAACAATATAAGCAAAACTAACCAATTGTTCTATTCTTATTCTTCTTCTGGAGAAACGAACGAGGGTTTCAAAAGAAAGACTGAACCACCATCAGAAATCTGAACAATTGATTTTTAAGGACAAGCGGGCTATCCCGAAAAATGCTGTTTTGAGAAAATCGAAGTTAAAGTTTTTGGATTCCTATTCAGTTTCTTTAAAAGAAAAGAAGAGACTCGGTTGCGTGAAAATGAAAGCAAAAACGTTTGTTTTTTAGACTATACCGAGTCGGCCGATTCCATCCGTAGTGGGCGCCATGTATTACGTAACACCCAAAGATTTCTGCTAAGTAATGACTGATAATGTGGGTGGTTGGGGGGTGCTCTGATGTGGTTTGCTTCTTCTGTCCTATCAAATATCTATCGTCCATATCTCTTCTCTTTCTCCTTTTTGGGAGTTTGTTACTCTCTTGTAACACCTCTAATATTCGATGGGGGTTCTCGTGGTCTACAGATTAAGGTGTTCGCCTCTCATTCAAAGGTTTTGGGTCGGAATCCGAGCAGCGACGAACGATTTTCTACTCTAAAATTTTCTCATCCATTCCTGCTCTCTAACAATGTTCTGTTGTCTGCTTTCGTCTCCACTTTCTGCCCCTCCCCCTCACCTCCTTTGCCCCTCCTCTGGGCTCATGACTCTTTCTGCAGCCTTTCTGCTGCTTCTACTTGGCTCCTTCTTACTGCTGTCCTTCAGCCACACCCCTGATCTTCGGGTAGGAAAATTCTACACCTAGCCTTCTCGTACGAGGGCGAAAAATCTCGGAAATCCCGTGTGCAAGTTGCGCACGTAAAAAAACCCCTGGTGGTCCAAAATCGATACATTTGTTAGAGTAGGCTTCGGGTGCCACCCAGGCAAAATTTAATCCTACCAACTGAGTCCCGCTTGCTCATATGACCTTATGCAGTTGCGAGCGCCGTAAAACACTTACCAAAAATATATACAAAATCTAATATTCAGTACGTATAAAAATAATATTATTGTTTTGCAAGTGCCGTAAAATTCTTTTTAAAAGTAAAGTTACTGAAGATAAATGAGTTATCACCGTATTCGGCGCCGGTGGTCAAGTGGTTGGGCTGCAGGGTTCGAAGTAGAACGGTCGTCGGTTCGAACCCTCAGGACTCGAACTCTAATGATTTGCGTGCAAATTGAAAGTGCTGAACAATTACGCGGCAGACTGACTAAACGATGAAAGTTAATTGTTAAAGGAAAGATAGACTAACAATAATATTGTGTTTGTAATATATATATATATATATATATATATATATATATACACAAGTCTCTAACTCTAGCAGACAGCGGCATCGGTAGCCTAGTGGTTAGGCTACAGGACTTGTAATCGTGAGATTGCGGGTTCGGAGGTTCGAGCCTCAGCTCGGTCCTACGTTGTGTCCTTTGGAAAGGCACTTTACACGAACTTCCCACTTGGCTCGGTCCTATCGGAGACGGGCGTTAAACTAGGAGGTCCCACCCCTTAAATAACCTAATAGTGTTGATAGGCGCGTTAAAGTCAATACCATTTCACCATTTCTCTAGCAGACATGAACGATAAATACTCTGCCCAGCCCCCCCCCTCTTTCTATCTCTTTCTTCTCTCTCTTTCTCTCTCTCTCTCTCTCTCTCTCTCTCTGTGTTTTCTCTCTCTCTCTCTCTCTCTCTCTCTCTCTCTCTCTCTCTCTCTCTCTCTCTCTCTCTCTCTCTCTCTCTCTCTCTCTCTCTAGCTAGCTATCAACTCGCTGGCCGAACATAGACCTCTCAAACACTGAACGATAAAACTTCCACGAAATCTCTCTCTCTATCTATCTGTGTCAGCCATCTTTTTTATTCGAAAGCCATTCCATATTTCTCATAGGACAAACTATCTGACCGACACAGAGAATAACATTGAGAGACTGTTTGTTATGAAATCATTCGAGTCCAAAGCTGTTAGCAGAAGCTCGGGTAACCCGAGATCTTACGATGAACTGCTGTGCCCTAGGGCAGAAAGTAATCGCTTTTTGGGGCCTCTCATTCAAAGGTCTCGGGTTCGAATCCGGGTAGCAACAGAAAAATTTTCTTCTTTGAAATTGTCTCCTTTCACCTCCTTTCCTGCTCTCTAGCAATGTTCTGTCTTCTGCTTTCGTCTCCTCTTTCTGCCCCCGCCACTCGCCTCCTTTGCCCCCTCCTCTGTACTCCTGGCTCTTTCTGCAGCTTTTCTAATGCTACTCCTTGGCTCCTCCTTCTTACTGCTGTCTTTCAGCATTAAACATTTTTGTGTGGATTTTGCTGAAAAGCCTTGATCAAAGGCACAAATGATGTAAATTCGCGCAGGTTTTAAGGACACTCATTGAAATGCTTTGGAAGTCACCGAACTGTGGTGGTCTCGCTAGATTTACCTCTGAAACCAGCCCACCCTCCCCCTCCCTCCCTGTCAAACCCCCTTCAATCCCAAATAATATTATAACTTCTGTTCAAGACAAAAAATAAATTAAAAGAGAAGAAGAGATAATGACACTAGATGTTTGATAAGGAAAAAGGAGAAAGCAACATTAGAACACCCGCCAACCACCTAAGAGTTTAGGTTTCCTATTTTGTCACCAGAAGTGGGTAACTCCAGTACCCCCGCCACACCAAGTTTCTGACGCCATTTTCTCTGGAGAGTCACGTGACATTTTTGACTATTGATCCGGACAAATACAGGCTAGTGGTACGGACATTCTCACAACGCCTTTGTTCCCTGAGATTTGAGCTCGCCAACAAGTAAGCCATCGCCTGTTGTTGTTGTTGCTTATTGTTGTTGTTGTTGTTGTTGTTGTTGTTGTTGTTGTATTTATAAGTACAGCTTCTTGTCGTCCTTTAGATTTACGCTTTGACGCCCCCCCCCCCCTTCAATGAAATAAATTAAAATAAACAAAAATACCTAAATAAATACATAATTTTTAACAGAAAAAAAAGAAATACAAATATCAAGAACAACAATTTTTGAATTATAAGAAATTAGATAGGACAGAATTTTAAAAAAGCAACAACAAACAAACAGAAATAAGACAAACAAGAACGTAAAAAAATTAATAAAACGAGGAACCACCATTACCACCACCACCACCACCAGCAACAACAAAAACACAAAACAAGAAAAAAAACCTTAAAAAAAAAAACTCCCACCAACTCAGCCTTCGTGGCAACAACAACAACAACAAACTGAAACAGTCGAGCCTGCTCTAACGGCCACCTGTATAAGACAATCACCTGTACACATCTGGAACACCTTGTCTCAGGATCTCAGAGAAACAGCAAATTTTGAAAGGTTTAAGCGATTGCTAAAGACTCATTGTTTCAATTGTTAGAGTGCGTTCGTAAGTTCCGATTTTTTAAATATGCATGCAATATATAAACTATAATAATATATACATTTTTTTCACTGTCCTGTCGTGTATATTTAATGTATGGTTGTGAAAGTTCTTCTTTATGTGGTTGAACTGGTTTTTCTTGTTTTCGTGAAATATTTTTTTGTATGTGAATGATTATGTGATTGGTGTAAAGCGCTCAAAGCTTATACTAGTATTGGATAGAGCGCTGTACAAATGCAATGTATTATTATTACTACAAACGACCTTTTTCATTTTGCACGATAATGGCACTGTGTAAGTTCTATAAGACAGCCACCTTCCTCGTCGCTGATGGACGGTCCTTTAGACAATTTCGGTGGGTGGTTGGCGGGTGCTCTGGTGGGGTTTGCTTCTTCTTCCTATCAAACATCTATATGTATCGTTTTTATCTGCCCTCCTTCATTTTTTATGTTTGTTACTCCCTTGTAACACCTCTAATCTTCAGGCGCTCATATGACCTTATGCAGTTGCAAGCGCCGTAAAACTGCTACTAAAACTAAAACAAACAAACAGACAATTTCGAACCTATAGAAAGACAAGAGCACAAACAACCCCCCTCTCCCCCCCTCTGGGCGGTGCTACTGACAGAAGTGTCTACTTTAGGTCATTCCCAAAGGGGAGACATTAACATGTTCTTAGGCCCAGTAGAATTGTAAATGGGCTGATTCATCAATATCATGTTCATACTGTGTCTGAACTGCATACGGGGACCTGCTGCTTTTTCTTTCCTAATCCTTATTTACTATGGTCATTTTTGCCCTACTTCTTTTGTATGTTTGTTATGGCTCTCTTGTGACCGACAATTTCCGGGGTGCCTTGATAGTCGAAGCAGACTTTGTGCTGTAGAGAAGCTAAAGAGGTCAATAGAGTAAGCCTGATTCCGTGTGTGGACTTCTGTGTTGACGTCGACCCTTTGGCGCTCATATGACCTTATGCAGTTGCGAGCGCCGTAAAAACTCTACTAAACCTATGTTTAAAAAAGGGCTCAAACAATGGGTTCCCTTGGTCCAGAGGTTAAGGTGTTCGCCTCTCATTCATAAGATACCGGGTTCCAATACGCATAGCGACGAAAGTTTTCTTCTTTAACATTTTCTCCTTTCCTGCTCTCTAACAATGTTCTGTTTTCGTCTCCACTTTCTGCCCCCACCCCCACTCATCTCCTTTGTCTCCTCCTCTGGGCTTCTGACTCTTTCTGCAGCCTTGCTACTGCTACTTCTTGGCTCCTTCTTACTGCTGTATTTCAGCCACTCCCCTGATCTTCTGGTAGGAAAGATCTACACCTAGCCTCGGACAAGGGCAAAAAATCTCGGAGGTCCCGTGTGCAAGTTCCGCACGTGAAAGATCGATTGGTGGTCCAAAATCGATAAGAGTAGTCTTCGGCCGCCACCCGGGCAAAATTCAAAATTTCTTACCGACTGAACATGTTTGGTGTGTCCCGCGCGCCCATATTATGTATTTTTGCAGTTGCGAGCGCCGTAAAACACTTAATAAAAAAAGAGAGACAGAAGCAGAGAAACAAAAGCTCTGAATTTCTTTAACACTTTAAAGATTTGAAATAGAAAACAGCTGGGTTTATTGCTATGCAGGGCAGCCAAAAACATCATTGTGAAATTGTTCCAATTTGCATTCGATCAGACATGTAAAGAGTGTTGTCTGTTATTTGCTAACTCACCCTTAACTCACTCTCTGTTTTTCTCTCTCTGTCTCCCGCCCCTTTCCCTTTTTTTACTCTCTCTCTCTCTCTCTCTCTCTATTTGCCTTCATCGATGAGGCCGGTATCAAGCTGTTAATGAAGAGAAACCAAGGAAGAGCACGGAGTGGTCAATGCTTTGTTCGAGTAGTGCAGGGTCGAAGGGGACCGAACCGCACGATGACATTTTCTGTCAGTGCCGAGAGTGGACTGGTCTTTCATGACTTTCAAGTAGAGGGCATGGCAGCTATCATTTCCACCCATCCCTCTTAGAAACTGTTCCAACAATTTCCACAACAAAGTATGCTTTGTATGCAACAACGCTCGTGCACAATTAATGCAAGCTTTAAATTGCAACTCCACAATAGATTGGGGTTGAAATATATTACGCCCTACACACCTTCCCTTAACATCTACGAGCACGCTTGTGAATTTGGAAATATGATTTGAAACCGAGGATCCGTGACCAAATGCTCTCTCAGCTGACTCATCAACTAAGGATGGTCACACTTCCCCAGATGATGGAACAAAAAAACCAAAGTCGTGACTAGAGTGACTATATGATAATATGGCAGCAGCCTTCAGATCATCAATGCAAGCCTTTGCCGAAGCGTCTTGTAATGCAATAGTATTTTGTGTAAATATAAGTCAACTTGGCCTTACATTTTATAAAATTAGTTTTAACCTTGTATATGCATATATCAGCTGTTTGTTGATTTTTACCATAACCATTCTTTTTTGTTTCAACTTGTTTATTTTCATTTTCGTTTTTGTATTTATTTTGTATTTTTTTGCTTCGTTTAACAGTTTCGTTTCACCAAATAGACTACAGGTGAAATATCTTGACACCTGCATATCTTGTCTCACCATCCATAAAAACGTTTCTTAATTTGGAAATACGATTTACTGACGTGGGTAGCCTAGCAGTTAGGCTATCGGACTTGCAACCGTGAGATTCGGGTTCGGGGGTTCGAGCCTCAGTTCGGCCTGGCGTTTTGTCCTTGGGAAAGGCACTTTACACGAATTTCCCGTTTGGATCGGTCCTTTCGGAGATAGCCGTTGACCTAATAGTGTTGAAAGGGACGTTAAACCTATACCATTTTACTATCGATTAAAAAAACACACGATTGAAACATGTCCGCTGAAGCAAGAGACTAAATGATCCCTCAGCAGACTCACCAACAAAGGATGGTAACACTTGCCCAGTTGATGGAGCAAAAACCCAAGCGTAATTATAGTGAAAAAGGCAGCAGCCTTCTGATCACTGCAAGCCTGTATGCTACCGCGTTTTGTAGTGCAAAAATAAGTAAATAAAAGTAAACATGGCTTTAGATTTCTCCCAGTTAGTTCTATATATATACACCAGCAGTTTGTTCATTTTTAGGATAACCATTCGTTTCTGCTTAAACATGTAGGTTTATTAGCAATTAATTTCGTTTCATCTGATTTCTTCCTTGTGACATCACACGGCTCACATCTGACAATTTTGTGACAACAAACTTTGATACACTTCTTATACTTTCAGCCTCCTTTTTCTCCAGTTCAAGCAAATTTACATTTGAAATTAATTGCTATGTGGCATTTTAATTTGCTAAACAAAACAAGACGCTATGTTAACATTTAAACTTGCTATTGTTGTATTAGAACTTTTAAGACGTCATTTGTATATTTGGATTTTTTGGTGTAATGTGGTCTTTCTATGCGGCATTTGAATTTGTTATGTGTATATTTGAATTGGAACCCCCCCCCCCAGCTATATTATATTAACGCAGGGGGAAAGAAAAAAGAAAGAACTTCCCCGTGTACTGTTGAAATCGGTGGTATGACGTAATGATACAACCACTAACAAAGTAAAAGAGGAAACAAATTAGCCTTCTAGTACTTGAGTCACGACAATTTACTTTTGATAATCAAGACAAGCTGATACAAGTGGGTGGTTGGCAGGTGCTCTGGTGTGGTTTGCTCCTTCTGTCCTATCAAACATCTATCGTCTTTATCTCTCCTTCTTCTTTTTTTGTGTTTGTTACTCTCTTGTAACAGCTCTAATCTTAGGCTCTTATATGACCTTATTGTATTGCAAGTTTCGTAAAACACTTACCAATATAATGTTGTTTTTTTATAGTTGGACTAGCTTTTCCAGTATAACCCTGCCCTCACCACTAATTTTGGACGTAGAATAAAGCGATTAAACATGTGGACCTATTATGAAAAGATAATATTGTTGGACGTACAATAAAGAGATTGAAATTGTGGACGTAGGATACAAAGATTAAACTTGTGAACTTACGATTAAGAGATATTTGACCTTTGGTTGCAGAATTAAGAGATTAAACTGTTGGACATAGGAGAGGTTAAAATTGTGGACAAAAGATAAAAAGATATTGGACTTTTGGAGGTAGAATAAAGAGATTAAACATGTGGGCATATAATAAAGCGATTAGACGGTGGATAAAGAGATTAAACATGTGGACATAAAACAAAAAGATAAAATTATTTGACTTTTGGAGTAAGAATAAAGAGATTAAACATGTGAGCATATAATAAAGAGAATTTAGACGTGGATGAAAAAATTAAACTTGTGGACATAAGACCAAAAAAATATTTGACTTTTGGGCGTAGAATAAAGAGACTAAACTCGTAAGGCGGGCCACGAGCGACACGCCAGTAACACAAGACGAACTTTTGTAAGCAGCACCATGGCAACGGTTGCTAGGGACAACACCAGAGCTAAACCAATCAGCGCCCACTGGGTGTACAATTTTCTGCGGAAGCGGAAGCTGTTGACGTCCGTTTGGCTAAGCAGCCACCTCAGGAAGGCGCTTTCTGCAGGGCCGCAATCTTTGTCGTCTGTTTGCAGTTTTGGCAGCTGGGGGCGTAGAAAGGGAATACTATGGTAACTTATGGACAAAAAACAAACAAAACAAAACAAACAACTGTATTTAGAATGTCAATTAGAACATAAATGCACGATTCTGTCATTGAAAAAAGGTCCATGTCTACTTCAATATTCCATTTTTTAGGTGTTCTGACAAAATGGGTTAATTCTCGGATTTTAACCTTATGGGCACCAATTGACACATGGAATTTATAAATGTGTAGGTTGGGTTCGAACAGTTTATTAAATAAAATGACTGGGAGGGAGGCTGTATTAATACTTTACTTGAAGTAATCAGATTCCAGATACGTGTATAACATTTATTATAAATGCAGGTTAGAACATTATACAGAATAAGTAAAACAAAAACAAAATATCGCTACCCCCCCGCCTCCCCCTGGTTCAGTTAAGTGGGTCTTTATTTTGAAGACAAGACAGTTTGTTAATTATAACGATACATAACATCTGTGTAGCAAACTTCCCCCTGTACAGCAAGCTCTATGCGATTTACAATCTATATTATCACCACAGCAGACCTGCTAGCATTCTGAAATAGTCTTAACTTCCTGGGAAGTTTACAGTGCAAGCAACCATTTTACAAGCGCTAAAATACAAACATACTGACAAGATCTTTCGCCGCATAAAAATATGGCCCAGTACCCCTTCACTACCCCTTCACATTTGGGAAAGAGAGGAAAATTTGCGTAAAGTGCCTTTTCCAAAAACGTAACGTCGGGCCTGAGTAAAACAACCACCCTCTGTTTGTTTGTGCTCAATGTTGTAATCAGAAGGTCGCTTTATTCTACTCTGATCCATTCATTGGCAGTCCTATTTCACAGAAAAGAATGGTGCGTTAAACCACCGAATCCGCAAAGTCACGATTACAAGTCAATCTTTTGGTATATGGAATTGTTGCTATTATTATATTAAAGTTAAACCTCGTTAATATGTCTTGTTTTATTATGAAAAAAATACTTGTCTGTCTAGAATAAAAGTGGAGATATTTGAGCTTGAAGAAGATGAGGACCGTCGTATGTGTATAAGAAGTAAACTTGGCCAGAAAACGGCTGTTAACATTTTGGTGACTTCCAAAGCGGAACCGTTAGACGCCGAATGGAAGGGGAAACGATGATTTTGTCTATATATTTACCCACAACAAGAGGATGTTGGCACGAAGCACAATCTGAACCAGGTCGTTTAGCACCAGACTCTCTCTCTCTCTCTCTCTCTCTCTCTCTCTCTCTCTCTCTCTCTCTCTCTCCCCCTCTCTCTCTGTGTCTCTTTCCAACTTCCCCCTTATCCCATCCCTTCACCACCACTCCTACTCTTAACACTCTGAAACTGTGAACTCACATTTTGTCATTATTCAAATTAATGCTGATGCCGTGTTACTATAATTAGGAATTTGACGCACCGTTCTTATCTGTGAAATAGGACTGCCAATGAATGGATCAGAGTATACAGCGGCCCTCTGATTACAACATTTAGCAAAAAACAAACAGAGGGTGATTGTTTCACTCGCGGCTCACAAAAAAGAAAATCGATAGCCAGTTTTTTAATTATTAGATTTTCGCCCCTCGGGTCATTTGTGACAGTTTCATAAGTGCCACGGCGCGGTAGAATCAGACGCTCGTCAATTTTGGGGCATACAGAGCTATTCATAATACTATCTTAAAGCTTCTTAATTTGTCTTGCATTTGGGGGGGGGGGGGAATGCCACTCTATCTTGATTCGAAATCGAAATATCTGCATGATTGAAGGTGGTGGGGTCGCCTGGTATGAAAGGTAAAAACTAGCGAGAGAATGGCCGCAAAAGTCTTTGTCACTTTCAAAGCTTGATAGTCCTTGGAAACTGGAAATTTACATTTTTCGTGTCTATAATGAACGTTTTCGGTAAGATCTAACCGGAAGTGTCTTTTTAAAAAGAAATAGAAGGTGTTGAACCAAAATTTAAAACATTTTAAAAAAAATTACTCAACACCCAGAAAAATGCTGTTTTCTTTGATTTCATTGTTTTGACAAGCGCCTGATTTCACCACGCTGTCTCACATAAGGTTAGCGCCACTCCTGTGCTCACATCGCCCGGCTCTGAGCTGAAATTTAAGGTGGGTGGTTGGTGGGTGCTCTGGTGTGGTGTGCTTCTTCGTTTCCATCAAACATCTATAGTCCTTTTCTCCCCTTCTTCTTTCTTTAAATGTTTGTTACTCTCTTGTAACACCTCTAATCTTCTGGCGCTCATATGACCGTAAAACCTCTATTAAAATTAACTGAAATTTAAGAGACATTAAAAAGAACCCCCCCCCAAAAAAAAACAACAACACAGCAACAAACAAACAAAATCAACCAAAAAAAATCTTCGTTTCGAGTCTCGCTTGGCGGTTTCGGGGAGAAGAAAAGATGGGTGAAGGAAGGGTGGGATGAGCCAACTCG